ACCTGCCTTCACACATTGCCAGATTGCAAGATCTAAAGCCAAGCTGTACGTCATCGTCATATGTACAATAAAACATATTGCGAGGAATGGACAAGAGCAAGGAATTCATTTTCATGAGAAAAAGTGTGCAGCTAAGTACACCACCTTGTGGCACGCCTGTTTCCTGGACAAATAATTGGGAAAGAACCGTGCCCACTCGGACACGGAATGTCCGGTTTGACAGGTAATTTTCGATTATGTAAAACATTCTTCCGCGCACGCCAATGTGGGACAGGTCTCTTAGAATTTCAAAACGCCATGTTGTATCATAAGCCTTTTCGATATCGAGGAATACAGAGAGAAAATATTGTTTATGGACGAAGGCGTCCCTGATCTGTGACTCAGTGCGAACAAGGTGGTCTGTGGTGGATCTACTTTCTCGAAACCCGCACTGAAATGGTTCGAGCAAATTGTTTGTTTCAAGGATATGTACAAGTCGGCAGTTTATCATTTTTTCGAAGACTTTGCGCAAGCAGCTTGTAAGTGCAATAGGCCTATAACTTGAAGCTAAAGAAGGGTCCTTGCTCTCTTTCAAAATGAGAATAATAATAGCCTCTTTCCAGGAGGTAGGGATAGTGCCTGAAAACCAGATAGCATTGTACAAACAAAGTAAGGATTTTCCTGATCCGGCTGGTAGGTTTGTCAACATTTCATACACCACACTGTCAGAAGCTAGGGCAAAAGTACTGCAGGAATTTAGAGATGTTCGGAGCTCAGCTAGACTGAAAGCTTGGTTATATGCCTCGTATCTGGTGCATTTGTGTTCTAGTTTCTGCTTTTCTATTCTTGTTCTGTATTTTTGGAAAGCGTCAGTATAGTGGGACGAGCTGGATACCCGTTCAAAGTGTGCACCGAGGAAGTTTGCCTGATCTTCCAAGGTGTCACCCTGAGTTTTTACGAGTGGAAGTGTGTGTACTTGTTTTCCTGCTATCCTACCGACCATGTTCCAGACTTTAGCCTCCTGTGTGTATGAATTGATCCCTGACAAAAACTTCTGCCAGCTTTCTCTTCTGGCCTGCCGACGCGTTCTCCTGCCTTGAGACTTTATTTTTTTGAAGGTGTCAACATTTTCGGCTGTCGGTGAGTTCCGAAGCAACCTTCAAGCTCTGTTTTGCTGTTTGCGCGCGTTTCGTCATTCAGAGTTCCACCATGGCGCGCCGTTTTCCAGGGTGCCCATTTGTTTGTTGGATGCATTTTGTTGCAGCATCAATCAAAAACGCTGTGAAGTAGTTGACAGCAACATCAATGTTCAAAGTACATATGTCGTTCCAACCTAGACGAGCGATGGTATAAAACTGTTCCCAGTCGGCTCTGTTTATGAGCCACTTGGGAACACGTGGTGGACACTCAGTTACTGTAGTTGTGCTCAAAACTACGGGGAAGTGGTCACTTCCGTACAGATTACTGACGACTTTCCACTGTAGTAAAGGCGCAAGAGATGGAGATACTATGCTTAGGTCTATGGAGGAGTAGGTGTTAATGTCGAGATTATATTAGGCTGGTTCTTTTCGATTTAGGAGACACGCGCTTGACGATAGAAGGAACTGTTCAATCAGTCGACCTCGCGCGTCATACCGAGAGTCACCCCATAGCCTGCTATGCGCAATAAAGTCTCCAAGGAGAACATAAGGTTCCGGAAGTTCATCAATTAAAGAGTGTAAATCACGTTTTTGCAGCTGATAGCTAGGAGTAATGTAAATAGTGCAGATTGTGATCAGTTTATCAAAAATAACCGCTCGAACAGCCACTGCCTCAAGGGATGTTTGGAGTTGTGTGTGCATGCAATTCTTTGATTCACTATGATGGCAACACCTCCAGATGATGTCATGGCATCAACACGGACCTTTTGGAAAATAACATATTTACGAAGAAAATTTGTGTGTTTTGAATTAAGGTGTGTTTCTTGTACACACAGCACTTTTGGTGAGTGTTCGCGTAAGAGTTCTTGGATGTCGTTAAGGTTTCTGAGAAGGCCCCTGACGGTCCATTGTATAATTTGAGTGTTCATGATGAATGTAAAATAGTGCTGTGTGTACGAAAAGCGAGTGTCTGTTTAGACAGGGAGTTTGAGTTCCCTTAACAGGGTCGTCACCAGGCCCTGTTATCTGCTTTTTTGTTTTCTTGGCACGCTCCAAGGAGCCACGCCGCTCTTTCGGCACCAAGGGTACCGACGTATCCATTGCCTCCTCGGAGGCACTGAATGCCTGCACGTGCGGGCTGTTAGTTCGAATTTCAGGCCTCGCCTGGCGAAGTGAGGCCTTGAGACCCGAGGACTCTGGAGCCTCCGGTCTCTGTTTGGGAGTAAGCGGTGTAGCCTGGGCTACAGCCGCCTTGGGGGCAGGTGCCACAACCACCGGCTCGGTATGCGCGGGCCGAAGGAGTGGCGAGGGCTGGTGCGGCGGTGCCTCTTGACGCGCCGCATCAGCGTATGTAGGTCTATAGAATGGTGCTACTCTTCGCCGTGCTTCCTTAAATGAAATGTTCTCCTTCACCTTAACGAAATAATTTTTTTTCTTTTTTCCAGTATGTGCAGGAGCGTGAATGTGCGGCATGGTTTGCTTCGCAGTTTACTCAGTGTGGCGGTTGTTTGCAGTTCTCAGACACGTGGCCTAGGACTCCACATTGTGCACAAGTTTGGCGACCCCGACAGGTTTTAGAGCCATGGCCATACCTCTGGCATTGGAAGCAACGACGAGGGTTTGGTATGTACGGCCTGATAGATGTCTTCGTGTACCCTGTTTGAATATATTCCGGTAGTTTACTGGATGCAAACGTGAGTAATAAGTGTTTTGTCGGTGTTTCCTTATTATCTTTTCTGATGATGATTCTCTGTACATTAGTGACATTTTGGCTCTTCCACACCTCCAAAATTTCAGTCTCAGTCAAGTCAAGCAAGTCCATGTCAGATACCACTCCGCGAGTTGTGTTCATTGATCTATGTGGTGTTATGGTTATTGGTATGCCACCGAAATCTCAAAGACGGTCTAGTTTTTGAAATTGTTCTTTGTCACGGATTTCGAGGAGAAGGTCTCCGCTAGCCATTTTGGTTACCTTGTATCCTGTGCCAAGAGTTTCAGTAAGGCATCTAGCAACTACGAAAGAAGAGACGGTCCTGGCTTGGTTTTCAGTTTTTTTTTTCACAGTGGATAACATGAAAGTGAGGATATGTTTCTTTTGGCTGGTTAAAAAAGTTTATATCATCGGTGCGTACCCGCTTTAAGCCGGTACGATCAGACAGTAGGGGGAATGCTCTATGCATGCCTGTCTTATTTTTGTTCAGCAGCGATGGCGGCCACCCACCACGGAGCCCAACGGGGGGACGCTACAAGTTTGCGGATGCTGAAACCTGCAGACGCCAGCCGTACAACCCCACTATAACCCAATGCGCCTAGACCAAGGTAGGCTATTTGCACAGGGTTAATCCTAGCCCCCAGGAAGTTTGGAAGTCAGCGGAAGAGATTAGAAGACAGGACAGATAAATTGCAAGAGATAAAGACGAAGATGTAGGGAGAGAGAGAGAGATGGGAAAAGGCGACTGCCGATTTCCCCTGCGTGGGTTGGCCCAGGGGTGCCGTCTACGTGAAGCCGGGGCCAAAGGGGTGTGTTGCCTCTGCCGGGGGGGGGGGGCCTTAACGGTCCAATCACCTAGCGTCGGCTCAACCCGCAGGATCCCCTTTTCCCCGGACACGGTAAAGCCACGCACGGCTAGGCGTGGGAGGGAGTAGAAACTCCCCCGTTAGCTCGGGTCCGTGGTGTTGCTACACACCAAACGCCTGTTGTGCAGGCGCCTGCGTGCTATTATCATTGGTCTGCACTCTCCCCACCCTGACCTATCCTTACAACTTTTCGTTCTTCACAACGACATCTTGCACCACTACAACGCCCGCCCGGATGGTGCTGAGCTTTTACTCGTCGTTCTTGCGCGTCTTCGCTCAGACGTTTTGGCCCAGCTTCGATGACGCCCCCTCCGCTGGACACCTAGGGGTGTCACACACGTATGACCGCGTTCGCCGCCAATTCTTTTGGCCTGGCATCTACCGTTCTGTGCGACAGTACGTTGCGGCATGCGACCTCTGCCAGTGCCGCAAGACACCTGCTCTGGGACCTGCTGGTACCCTCCAGCCCATTGAAGTACCAGATGAGCCATTTTTCCGAGTCGACCTCCATCTTCTAGGACCTTTTCCTGTATCGGCCACCGGTAATAAGTGGATTGCTATTACTATCGACTACGCAACGCGGTATGCCGTTACCCCCACCCTCCCCACCAGCTGCACTACTGATGTAGCCCATTTCCTTTTTCATGACTTCATTCTGCGTCATGGTGCTCCTCGTCAGTTGATAACTGACTGCGGCTGCTGTTTTCTATCTAAAGTAGTCCACGAGCTGCTGCGATCCTGCTCTACCCACCACAAGTTCACTGCAGCGTACCACCCACAAATCAATGGCCTTACGGAACGCCTCAACCGTACCCTGACGAATATGTTAGCGATGTACGTCTCCAAGGATCACAAAGATTGGGACATCCACTTACCTTTCGTTACCTTCGCATACAGCAGTTCACGTCATGATACAGCTGGATTTTCCCCTTTTTACCTACTGTTTGGTTATGACCCGCCTTTGCCCATGGACACCATGCTCCAATTTGACACCCTCTCATCGACTGCTTATGCTCGTGATGCCCTGGCCCGAGCTGACATCACCCGCCAAGTCACCCGGGATCATTTATGTGCCTCGCAGCTTAACCAAAAGAGTGCTTACTGCTACGTCATGCAAGCGTGTCGCCAATCATGTCATGACGTCATCACCATCGCCGAGCACATAAAATCGAGACACGCCAAATAAACCTTTTTTTGTTCCTGCTCTGTTACTGAGCCGTTCACTCGCGACGTAACAGTGGCGACGAGGCACGAATCGGCGCGGTGGGAGGAGGCTTTGAAGTGCGGCTGCTGAAACAGGCAGTGATGGCACCGGGACAGGCGCCTGCATTCACGGAAGAAGAAGGAGGCTGGTCCGCCTACAAGGTACGCTTGGAAGCATACTTTCAAGCACAGGAAATCACAGACGAGGCAAAACAACGAGCCCTGCTGGTGGCGGCTCTGTCCAATGGTGCCGTCAAAGTACTTCAGGGACGATGCCACCCCAAAAGCGTGAACGACCTCACCTACAGCGATGTCATCAAGCATCTGCAGAGCCACTACGAGCCTCAGGTCAACGAAACAGCAGCCAGCTACCGATTCTTCACGCGCACACAGGCAGAAGGTGAGCGATTGCGGGATTTTGTAGCCGCCCTTCGCCGCATGGCCGAAGACTGCAATTTCGGCGACATGTGGCACCGCATGCTGCGGGACCGCATTGTATGTGGTGTTCGAGACGACGACGTAAGACGTCTGTTGTTGACCCGCGGTTCCCTGACTTTGAAGGAAGCAGAAGACTTCGTAATGGCTGCTGAGGCCGCCACGGAAAACGCGCAGCACATGCAGCCACTGCCCTCCCCGGTAGCCGACACAACGAATTTTGTCCGGCCGGGCCTCTCACGTTCGAAGTCGAAGAAAGCAAGTGGGCTATCTCGCGATGAGCATCGGCCTTGCACCCGCTGTGGTGCATCCTCGCACCAAGCGGATGATTGTCGTCATCTCCAAACAGTGTGCCATCGATGCCGGAAACGCAGCCACTTGGCACGAGTGTGTAGAGCGTCGGACGAAGACACTAATCAGAGGCAACAAGCGAACGCCCTTTTGCAGGACGCACAAGAGAGTTCGGAGGACTGCGAAGCTTTATACACGCTGACTGCGCATCAAGTGATGGACAGCGCGCACGTAAAGCCTATTTTGCGCCAGATAAGTTGGAACGGAGTGCCGCCTACGATGTTGGTAGACACGGGTTCGCCTGTGAGTGTTATTCCGCGGTCAGTGTTCGAGCGACACCAAGGCGAATGGCCACGTTTGCAAGCCACAACAATGAAGCTGTCGTGTTTCAAGGCACCACTTCCTATCAACGGAAAATTGCAACTCAATGCGACCATGAGTGACGCGACCATTCAGGCCGAACTTTTCGTCATCGACTGTCCGGGACCGATGCTTTGCGGCCGTGACACCATCCGCAGCTTCAATACGGCAGGCGTGCCGGTACTCACTGGAAACGAGGTGGCGTGTGTTCAGGCGGAAAATGCGGACAGAATGGTGGAAACCATGCTATCAAAGTACAGTGATGTCTTTCCTCCGGGTTTGGGTTTGCTCCGAGGGCCACCGGTACACCTGACCGTCAAAGAAGGCGCAAGACCCCGGTTTTGTAAGGCGCGGACGGTGCCGTATGCGCTCAAACAAATGGTATCAGCAGAGTTAGATCGACTGGTAAACGAAGGGGCGTTATCACCGGTAAATCGGCCGAATGGGCCACACCCGTGGTGCCCGTAGTCAAGAAGGATAGACAGGTGCGATTATGCGGCGACTCCCGGCTTACGGTGAACGCAGCTACCATAATGGAGCAATATCCGCTGCCACGGGTTGACCATATCTTTGCGAACCTCAACGGCGGAGAATCTTTTAGCACATTGGACTTGAGAAACGCCTATAATCAGCTGCCCCTTGACGAGGACTCGAAGAGGCTAGTTGTTTTGAACACGCACAAGGGTCTCTATTGTTTCAACAGGCTGCCGTTCGGAGTGTCGTCAGCGCCAGCAATCTTCCAGCGGCGCATGGAGGCCGTGCTCAGCGGGATCCCCGACGTGCAGGTATACCTGGACGACATAATTGTATCGGAAAAGGCAAACGACTGCAGGATCCTGGAGCAAGTGCTACAGTGCCTGAGGGAACACGGCCTGCGCCTACGACGGGAGAAATGCAAGTTCAGGCAAGAGCAAGTCACCTTTCTCGAACACTGCATCGACAGACACGGCCTACGCCCCAAAAGCGACAACATCACGGCACTGCTCGACGCCCCCCAGCCCACTTCGGTAAGAGAACTGAAAGCTTTTTTAGGTCTGTTAAATTACTACGGCAAGTTTTTGTCCAATGTGTCCACCTTACTAGCGCCCTTATACGCATTGTTGGCAAAGGGCGTAAAATAGGTCTGGGGCAGACAACAGCAGATTGCTTTCGAGGCAGCTAAACAAGCCGTGAAGAATGCAAAACTTTTGGTGCATTTTGACCCAAGCAAGCCCATTCGCCTAGAGTGCGACGCATCAGCAGTAGGCCTGGGAGCAGTGTTGTCGCATCGAGTCGGAGGAATTGACTACCCTATCGAATTCAGGTCACGAACACTAACAAAAGCCGAGAAAAATTATTCCCTGTTGGAAAAGGAGGCCCTCGCCCTCGTATTTGGCGTGACCAGGTTCAGAGACTATCTGAATGGGACCCACTTCGAACTAGTAACCGACCACAAACAGTTAACCGGACCGTTCAGTCCAGACAAGAGAATTCCGCCGATGGCCGCTGCCCGCATTCAGCGTTGGGCCCTGCTGTTGGGTGGATATTGATACAGCCAAACCTATCGTAAAGGATCTGAAAACGTAAACGCAGATGCCTTCAGCCGACTCCCTATTCCTCGGGGGCAGCCCGATAACGTAGAAGACGACGCTCCCGAGTATGTATTATACGCTGAAGCTGTGAACGCGGCACCCATCAGTGCCAAAGAGTTGGCGGTTCTAACCATCCGTGATGCTATGTTACAGCAGGTGCGAAAGTGGATCCTGCAGGGCTGGCCACAGTACCTGACAGAGTCCGAGGAGCAATTCCGGCCGTTCTTCCAGAAAAAGGATGAGCTGGCGTTGAATCAGGACCTCATTTATTGGGGACATAGAATAGTAGTGCCATCAGCGGCTGCTGGGAGTCTTTTGAGGCTCCTACATGAAACACATCCAGGGATGGCGGCAATGAAAAACCTTGCTCAAACCATTTTTTGGTATCCAGGGCTGGATGCCGACATCGAAAGGAGGGTACGCGAATGTGAGAGATGTGCTCAAACCAGTGCAATGCCTCCTGCGCAGGTTCCGGCGCCATGGCCAGAAACGGGCTGGAAATGGTCTCGAGTGCACATCGACTACGCAGGCCCCGTCGAAGGACACATGCTACTGGTGGTCGTAGATGCTGAAACAAAGTGGCTGGAGGCCATATCGAGGCGGAGTACGACATCAGAAGCCACCGTGGAAGCATTGAGGCCCATATTTGCCAGGTTCGGACTGCCACATATACTTGTTTCAGATAATGGGCCACAGTTCGTCTCAGCAGAGTTTCAGAAGTTCGTAAGAATGAACGGGATTAACCACGTGACGACGGCGCCTTACTACCCACAGTCAAATGGCCTGGCGGAACGCGCGGTTCGCATGATCAAGGAAGGCCTTCGAAAAAGCCAAGGGGGTGGCACATTCATTAAACGTCTCAGTCAGTTTTTATGCCGATACCAACGGACACCGGTAAAGGCTGGGAAGTCTCCGTCCAAACTACTGCTGGGTTATCAGCTACGAACCAGGCTAGACTGTTGCCTCCCGAGTGCAGGCGGGGAACCGCGTCTTGAAGAGCGCTCCTCCACCATGCCGTTCTGTGCAGGACAGCCGGTGTGGCTGAGAAGTTTCCACAGCCGGCCAAAATGGTTGCCGGGAGTGGTCACCAGTACCCAAGGGGCTCGGATGGCGACTGTGTCTACGCCGGACGGCGAGCAACGTCGTCATGTGAACCAACTGCGGCTGCGCACTCCGAAGGACTCGAACACGACGCAGCCAGGAGGCGCTACAACATCCACCACCACCGCTAACGAAACCTCGCCGATGCCAGCCGGCATGGCTGACCCCACGCCGGCGGGGTCGCCGCCCTCTAGCCAACCTGAGGCACCGCCGCCGCTTCGCCGGTCCAACAGGCTACGGCGACTACCTCAAAGGTTCAACTGGTAAAAGGGGGAGATAGCTCCACTCCATACCACGTCAGTACCAGCTTCAGTTCCGACCGATATAGTGCACGTCTCGCGGTTTAAACCATAATACTCACGCCCCGAGAATCGATCGCACCGGGACGGTGCTTCTGCCTCCGGCGGGAAATGTCACGGGCTAAGTAGATGCCTAAGGATGACGACGACGAAGTGCTGAGGGGAACGTGCTCGGATTGCAGCAGCGTTGTACGCATATGCTTGCCAGTATATTCATCGTGTATACTTTGTTCCCCGTAACAATATGAACAACACTTTCGAATCACTTTGCGAGACAGCTCGTGAGAGCTATCGGTCTGTAGCTACTAGCACTTGTTGGTGGCTTTCCCGGTTTAAAAAATGGGATGATGATGGCTTTCTTCCAGGCTTCAGGTAATTTTCTGGTAATCCAAACTTGGTTGAAGAATGTTAAAAGTATTTCTACAGCCTGTTCGGAGAGATGGGCTACCATTTCGTAGTACATCTCGTCGGGTCCCGGTGCAGTTTTCTTGCCTGCTGTCAATACTGTGCGTATTCCTTGATAAATAATTAAGCAGTTGTATGGTTCGTTTGTTTTTTCCCTTGTTGGAAGTTTTTGTTTTTCGTCTGCGTGTTTGTGTTTCAGAAATGATTGTGTATAATGTGACGAGCTGAAAACGGCACAGATGAATTCATCTAGAATATTTGCCTGTTCTTCAATACTTGTCTGTACACCAGGATGCGTGAGAAACGGTACAGTGAACGGAGAAAACTTGCCGTCTATCTTCCGGACCCGTTCCCACATTTCCTCTGATGTGGTGGTGTTGTTTATGAAAGAGATGTACTTTTGCCACAATGCTTTTTCAGCATTGCGATGGATGTATCTGGCCTTGGCTCTAGCTTTTTTAAAACTTACAAAGTTTGCCGGTGTTGGGTACCTGCGAAAGGTCCCCCAGGCTTTATTTACCTTTTTAGCTTCTCTTCATTCGCATGTATACCATGTTTTGTGATTTTCCTTTGTGAGTCCAGATGTCTGAGAGATAGCCGGGAAGCTGTTGCGATGCAGTTTGTAATACATTCGTTTTGATCATATATGTTGAGGCCTTCTGTCCCTAGTTTTTCCAGGCAAGCCTTTTCTTGTAATAGGGCCAAGTCGACTGAATGTAGCTTCCAACGTCGTGGTTTTTGTTTAATGACTTAAGGTGTTGTTTGGCTGATTAGTATGGTCAGATGGTCGCTTCCATATGGGTCAATCAGTACATCCCACTTAACATCGATAAAAACAGAGGGAGAACAAAATGATAAGTCTATGCAGCTCCTTTTTCTTCAGCTAGGAAGCAGTAGGTTGCTTTTCCTGTATTAAGTAGGCATGATGTTATTGCAAAATAAAAAAAAAATTCTATGATGTGGCCTTTAGTGTCAGTTTTCTCACTTACCCAAAAAAAAAACGGAGAGTGCATTGAAATTTCCAACCACCAAAAAGGCTCTGGCAGCTGTTCTTTTGGGTGTTCTAAGTCAGAAATGGATATCTTAAGGTGTGGCTCCAAGTATGCGCTGCTCAATGTAATCGATTTAAATGTGTGTATGGTGGCCGCCATGGCTTCTATTCTGGTTGTAAATTTGTGTTTTCGCGCTAGTACTCCGCTCTTGACTATAATTGCAACACCACCTGAGAGCCTACTTACCTGCTCTCGGTCGTGCGGAAATACACTGTAGTTTTTCAAGATGATGATGATGATGTTTAGAGTTTAATGGCGCAAGGCCGACTAAGGGCAAAGAGCGCCAAACAGAAGTGATTACATTAAAGTGACAAGGAAGTAAAAGAACATCTCAGTAAAAATGGACAAAGTAAAACACAACGTAATGGAAGATGACTGGTCTAAAGGGCCAGGTTGTCAAGCATGATAAGAAATGAGATGTAAAAATTTCACGTCGGTAAGAAATTCTAAAACGCGTTTGACTGAAAACAGTGCTTCGTCTCCTATGAAGTGTGACGGGTGTGGTGGAATATGTCGCGTGTGTAGTTGTGGGAAGTATTTGCGTCGTGTTGTGTCAAGTGCCTTACATTGTATCAGGATGTGGATCACGGATAGCGCCTCTCCGCACCTGCTGCACAGAGGTCTTGGAGACCCAGTGAGAAGGTGCGAGTGCGTTGCATGAGTGTGCCCTATCCGTAATCTGGCCAAGGCGACTTCAGTGTATCTATTACGTGCGTCGGTTGTGTATGGTCCCAAATGTGGTTTTATTACGTGTAACTTGTTGTCTGTTTGTTCACTCCAGTGTGTTTGCCATGTTTTACGAAGTTGTTGTCTGATGTGTGGTTTCACGTCGGTGTAGGGTAATGTGGTTATGTCTACTGTATTTAGGAGTGTAGCAGCAGCAGCCATTCGATCCGCTGCTTCGTTCCCGGCTATACCACAGTGGCCAGGGACCCAACAAAGAACCAGTTCAAGGTTGCGTACATACACAGACATAACAGCTTTGACAATTAGATTGACAACATGGTTTTTCGAAGGCATTGTTGACGACAGTGCCCGCACAACACTGAGGGAGTCTGTATAGATAATGGATTGTGAGATGTCGCTTTGAAGTATATGATTAACAACAAGAAGAACACCATACGCCTCTGCGGTAAAGATACTAGTATGACTATTCAGCGTTTTAGTGACACTAAGGCCGGGTCCATGCGCAGCGCAGGACACAGAGGTGGCAGTTCTAGAGGCGTCCGTATAAAATTCAGCACATTGATACTTATGCTGCAGATGCACGAAATGCTGCAGAAGAGCACATGTGGGAGCTCGGTTTTTATCTATATGTGTAAAAGATGTGTCACATAAGACAGCGCGGAGATGCCATGGTGCTATAAAATCTGTTGGAGAACTTCGGATGGTGTCTAGAAAAGAGACAGAAAGCTCTGACGCTTCCTCTCTAGCTCTGTAGGAGAAAGACGCAGAGAACGATGGTCGGTTTAAAAGGAGTTCAGTCATGGACGTATCATAAAAAACTGATTTAAAAGGATGGTGAGGCATGGATGAAAGTTTAAAAGCATAAAGGAGACCTGTGTATGCTCGCTGACGTTGCAGGGTCAATTTGTTACACTCCACATAGAGGCTTTCGACCGGACTAGTCCGGAATGCACCACACGCCAGGCGGAGCCCCAGATGGAGTACCGAGTCCAGCATTTTGAGGGATGTTTTACTTGCTGACCCATAAACAACGCTACCATAGTCCAATCGCGAACCTATTAGGCTGGTAAAAACACGTAATAAAAGTTGTTTGTCAGCACCAAAAGAAATGTGCGAGAGAACCTTCATGATAGTCAGTGTTTTTAAGCATTTATGTTTTAGTTGTTTTATGCATGGGATGAATGTCAGCTTTTCGTCAAAGATTATTCCTAAAAACTTGTGTTCCTTTTTGACGGGAATTGACACACCATTAAGATGAATGTCAGGATCCGGCCGGATACCACGCCTCTTAGAAAAAAGAACACAAGTGCACTTCCCCGGATTAAATTTAAACCCGTTCCTATCTGCCCAGCCAGCTAGCTTGCTAACACCAAGCTGTACTTGGCGCTCGCAGACAGATAGGTTACAAGACTTAAAAGATAATTGTACGTCGTCTACATAAATTAAGCAGGAAATCGACGGTGGCAATGTCTTCCTCAGTGAGTTCATTTTCACAATGAAAAGGGTGCAACTTAAAACTCCACCTTGTGGCACTCCATTTTCCTGAACATGAACTCTAGATAGTGCAGTTCCAACACGCACGCGAAACGTTCTTTCGGACATGTAACTGGCAAGCGTGTTGAACATGTTACCCGAAATGCCAAAAGACTTGAGATCAATGAGGATACCATACCTCCAAGCAGTATCATACGCCTTTTCTAAATCAAAAAATACTGTCATGCAGTACTGCTTGTGGAGGAAAGCATCTTTTACATATGCCTCTAATGCAACGAGTTGATCGTTGGTAGATCGCCCCGCCCTGAAGCCTGCCTGGCAGCCCTCGAGAAGACCGTTGATCTCGAGAAAGTACACAAGTCTCCTGTTTATTATCTTCTCGAAGAGCTTACACAGGCAGCTAGTCAGGGCAATGGGACGATAACTGGCAGGAGAGGAAGGGTCCTTCCCTTCCTTTAGGAAAGCTACTACTATGGCCTCCCTCCAAGAGCGAGGAATGTGCCCCAAAAGCCATATTTTATTGTATAGGTGTAAGAGTGTTTCAAGAGTGTGTGGGTGTAGGTGCTGTATCATGGTGTATGTAACCTTATCTGCACCTGGAGCTGAAGGTTTGCACGTGCTCAAGGCAGCCCTCAACTCATAGAGAGTGAATTCAGAGTTGTAAGAACTGTTCGATTTCTCTTTGTCGTGTAAGGGCTTTTTTTTTCAACAGATGTTTTGTGTTTCATGAAAGTGTTTGTGTAGTGTGCTGAGCTGGACACGTGTTAGAAGTGTTGTGCGAGTGTGTTAGCCTGGTCTTCCAGTGTGTCCCCTGTTGTACTAACCAGGGGCAGGCTGTGTGTCTGTTGTCCTTTTAGTTTGCGTATTCATGTCCAGACTATGTGTGTGTCAGTGTATGAGTTGATGGAAGTGAGGAAGGTGCGCCAGCTGTCCCTTTTCGCCTCACGACGCACTCGCTTCCCAAAAGCCTTTGCCCGTTTAAACGAAATGAGGTTGTCCAACGTGGGGTACCGGCGAAGGACACCCCACGCTTTGTTCTGGGCCTGTCGCGCCCGCCTGCAGTCCTCGTTCCACCAGGGCCGCCTTGGGTTGCAGGACGCACTGGAGGCCAGGGGAATGGACTTTTCGGCGGCGTCAAGGATGTGCGCCGTGATGAGTTGGGCGGCTTCCTCCACGTGTAGGTGTTCTATGGATGTGTGGTGTAGTTGAGATGTTTGTGTGAATGTGCTCCAGTTTGCTTTTGATTCATTAAACCTTTTATGGGAAGATGAACTGCTTGGGCCTGTACCTAGATACGTTAATGAGGTGGGGAAATGGTCACTACCATATG